GATAAAAACATTTAAAAATGAGAAAATAAAATGCAAGAAATGCTTATGAAAGTTAGTTTATATTTCACAAACTAAAGAGAACGAGTGATAACAAAGTATTGTTTCAAATATTTGTTAATTTTCTTATACTCATCTACAAAAAATAAAAAAAACTCTTATTAAACTGCAACTTAAACACAATGAAAATAAACTAAATTGTCTATATAAATTTTTTATTTAATGAAGAAATATAAAAAGAGTATTATTTTATAATATATTAGTATATATGTTCGGTTCGGGAATTTCTGTATGGGAAGTAACCTCGTACCGTTCCCAAATACCGGACCGACCGTTCGGTTCGGTATGATTTGGTTTCTTTTCGGTACTTTATCGGTTCGGTATTTTTCGATTCGGTATTCTCAGTTTTTTCGGGAAATATCGGGATCAGTTCGGTCCTTGCTCACCCCTAATTTGATATATATTTTTTGTATACCACAATGATATACAAATAAAGATGAAATTCATTGGTTAATAAATTTTAATGTTGGTATTCATTGTTTAGCCATCATATCTACCATAAAAACATCATATCTATACTTGAAAAATATTTATATTAGACATACCTATACATAATTTGAAAATTAAATTTAAAAAATACTATATTTAAAAATTGAATTAATCCTTTAAAAATGTTGAATTTTTAAATTATCAACAAGCTCATATGAAGCACGGGGTTTAAACTAGTCTATTCATAAACAAGTCCATCATTTATTTAGGGTGGCCCATTTAAAACAAAAAAGCATAACATCACAAATTTCTTTAGGGCCCATACACTTGCTCACTACCCTGTATTATCCAATAATTCATGCAGTTCAAAAGTCAAAACCAACACAAGTATATTATTGCGGAGTATAATATAAACTGTTTTTGAAAACAAAAGATTATTTTTCATATAAAAATTACTCGATGAAATCCTCGATTTTCTCGTAAAAACTCTAAGGTCCCATATCATCATCATCATCATCATCAATATTCTTAAAAGCAGGGGAATTATGCACCATGCTTTTTCCCGCCCATTTGTCAAGCCTTATGAGCCATTGATATTTGTCAATCTATGCATCTACGGCCCATATTTACTGCGGATGAAAAGGAGAAAAAAAGGAAATAAGTATTAAATAAGTACAACAAAAAAGACTTTAAAAGGAATCACATTTATATACGATATTAACATAATTACACAATTTTATATCTAAATTACTAATTAATGAAGATTCATGCTTTCGGAGTAGAAAATCATGAAGAAGTCTTTAAATAAATAAATTTTTAAAAGTTTGATATATAAAAATTATACGAGTAATGTAGTTTATAAAGAAGTCTTTCGTTATTTGTAAAACAATTAACTTTTGTACCTTAAAATAATAAAATATTTATATTCTACTCCCTCCGTCCCGAAAGAAGTTTCCTTATTGACTTTTTGGAAAATTAAGGGAGGGATATTTTGGTGTTGAATTTCCAAAAGTACCCTTGATGTGATTGATAAAAGTAAAATGTGATAGATAGATTATTAGTAAAAAAATATGATGTGATAGCTAGGGTATGAAAAAGTAAGGAGCAAAAGTAGTTTTTTAATAGAAAAAGGAAGGAGTTTGTGGGATAAAGAAAAAATGAAAGGGGGAGATGTTTCAAAGACGGTGGGAGTATTAGATAAGAAATTGTATCCTTCAGAAATGATCTTAATTTAGTAATATTAGTATGACCCGTGCAACGCACGGGAGTGATGCTAGTTATCTAAAATACACTTCGAGGTACTCTTGATTTTCTTGTAAGAACTCTCATCTTCCACATTATCCAAAATATACTCCACGGTTCTTAAAATTTATGATATTATAGTCTAAGGGTATATTTTGTCCATTTAGATGTTAGGATTGAAAAGTTTGTTACTTTAAGAACTTGGAGGATTTTATTAAAATTTAATAAAATAATGATTATAAAGGTAAATTTTAGTATTTTCAAAGTAACAAAAATATCAATACTAGTAGTAAAAATGTCAACTAGACGGAAGTACCCTTGGAGTATATTATCCCAAATTTTAAGGACACCAGAATTTATTTCGGAAAATGTGGGATGATAACTAAATATTACCCTTGTCATCGAGCATTTGTCAATCTTTTGCTTTTTATAGTCAATCATATTTAATCTTTAACCTATAATGATATAAAACCTATATGATATATTAATTAGATAAAATAATATTGTAAAAATATTTTATAAAGTATATCTTATACATGGAGTATAAAATAATTTCTGTATCAATATATAATTTCATTTTTATTTAATTTATGGGTAAAGGTTGTCAATTTTGATCGAAAAAGTTAAAAATCCACAAATATTCAAGAATGGATATAGTATACTTTTTTAATAATTTATACTGAAAGTTTATAAATTTTGACGAAAAAAAACAAACTGCAAATAATTTTTGAGACAAATTATATAAATGAGTTAGAGATAAAAATAACAAAAAACTATGGAAAAATTATCTCAAATAATCCCACCTTTTCGCGTTCTTTCAAAAATAATCACACTTTTCACTGTTACCGGAAATAATCCCACCTTTCTGCATGTGTGCGAGTTTTGGGCCGCCGTTAAAAACCTAACGGCCACTTAACGGAAGTTTTAGGAAATGTCTATTTTCGGCAAATAAATGAAAGATAGGATTATTTTTGGCAAATTTATTTTTTTTAATTTTAAATTTAAAATTAATATTTTTAAAAATATAATAGTACACTCTTGTTAGAGATTGGTCTAACGATTTACAAATTTTGTTTTTGTTTTGGGAAAATATAATACTCGGTATTGAATTATCAAAAATAATTTAGAGTATCGATTAAGAAAGAAATTGCAATACAAAAAAATTGTAGTGAGTTATAAAAGTTATTAGTGCCGTTT